TTACACACAAACACAATCCAACATCAACCAAATAGGTTTGGGAGATCAAAGAGAGATAGTTGTGAGTTTTCAAGAGTGAAACACGATTCTTTCAAAGGGGTTTAGATTGAAACCAATCTTGAGGATCTTGCACTAGCATCCTTGTATTCTCAAGATACTTCTTCTCATCTCAAGGTTTCATTGGTGTGGAGACTTAGAGGCCATATACTTTTGTGGCTCACAAGGAGGAGAAAGATCAAGAGGAGATCAACAAAGGGAAATCATCAAGAGAAGACCAAAGCACAACTTGGTTCATATTATAGCTTCAAGGGTAATTAGAACTTATCCTTTCTCTTGAATTTTCATTTATGAAAAACATATCAATGTTCATGGCTTAAGATACTTGGAAGAAGTTTTGTTTTGAATTTAAACAACCACCATATTCTTCCGCTGCAATTAATTTGATTAATTTGTATGTTTAATGTTCAAATCAACTTCTTAAAAATGTTTTAAAACCAACAGCTGTATCTACGCAACATTAGTCGCTTGGCTAGTCTATTCCATGCGGAGCTTTTGTTTGTGTATGACTGCTTTTGTAACATCCCGTCCTGCTTTTAATTTTAATTTTCGGAATTTTAAAGTGAAAGGACGGTTTTGCCCTTAGGATTTTTAAAGTGATTTGGGGTTCAATTTTTGTTCAGGATTAGTTTTGGAAATTTTCTTGGTTCCAATGCGTAAAGCTCGAGTTCACGAGTCTGTAGCCACGTGGCGAGCTCAAATCGGAGTTAAAACGACAAAGTTTTGGTCAACAGAAGTTAGGGGCAATTTTGTAAATTTAGAAAAGCCAAATTTTAAATCCCTTGCCAGCTGGTCCAGTAAGGTGGAGACTTCTCTCTCTCTCTCTCTCTCTCTCTCTCTCTCTCTCTCTCTCTCTCTCTCTGCCGTCTAATCGCCTTTGGTGACGGCACTGATGGGAAAAGAAACATCACCAACCAGTGAACCCATCTAGCACCATAACCAGGCCCATCTGCCACTTATGGTGATGCTGTGAGCTTCAAAAAGGCTGAACCCATCGAACATCGGAACGAAGACCTCACTTGTTCAAGGAATGGTCTTTTAGACATAAACTACCTGAAACAGATAATTGAATTAATTAGACAATACTAAAAGAATAGGGTAACCTTGGGCACATAACCAGGGAAGAACTGTTGTTCAGTCCTCAGCAACAACGCCAAAATTTATTGTGTTACTTTAACTCGCAATTGTATAAGCCAATTAGTAGTATAGCAAGACAAGTACAAGGTCGTACCCATGAGGACTGAGAAGTTCATATTAATTATGTACTTAGATTACCCAATTCTAGAAACAAGGTTTGAGGTACCTCTAAAACTTTGTAGAAATCCCCTCTCACAAACCCTAACCGCCACTCTCTCTCGCTCTCTCTCTCTCTCTCACACACACACACAAGGCTCTGGCCACCACACACGGCTTCGACTACCCGGTTCTCCCCAAGTGAAATCTTCGTACAATTTGTTAGCTACTGTTTCTCCTATATACAGTCGACCTAACTTAGGTATCGGAGGGCCTTTGGCCAACAACCCCCGGTGTGGTCTTTTCACTCCGTGTTGTTTTGCAAGGAGAAAGAAAAGTGAAGAGGAAGAAGGGATCTTGAGACGAATGTTCTCTAGGGACGAAAATCACTCCCATAGTACCTTAACTGATGGTGAACAGAACAATGTGATCGAATCTGCAGCGGAGATGCTCTTTGGTTTAATTCATGCTAGATACATAGCTACTCACAAAGGATTGTCTGCAATGGTAAGGTGTTTAACAATGCAACTTTATATGTGGTTTTTTCATCATGCTGGATTTCAGGCTTCCTAATTCAACAGTGTGCAATTCAGTTGGAGAAGTACAGGAACTATGACTTTGGCAGATGTCCAAGAGTTCACTGCAATAAACAACGATGTCTGCCTGTTGGGCGGTCAGACATCCCAAGGTTAAGTACTGTCAAAATCTTCTGTCCCAAGTGTGAAGAAATTTATGCCCCACAATCCAGACACCAAGATCGTATCCTTGTAATAAAATATGTATGACTTTTGCAAATGACTTCAGTTATGTTTTGTTGAACATCAGTTTTTCAATGTTTCCTTGACAAACACTCTACGAAATTGATGGAGCATATTTTGGAACCACATTTCCTCACCTTTTTTTCTTGACCTACGGCCATCTTAAACCGTAGAAGGCGAGTCAGAATTATTTTCCGAGAGTATATGGCTTCAAAGTCCACAAGGAGGAATGATAAATCTTTTACCTGCAAAGTTGCTCCTCTTGATGAAGAAAGGTAAAGGGGTCCAAGCAGTGTTGTTTCCCCTTGTAAGGAAAAAAAAAACAGATGGTTGTTGCCAAAAGCCCTGTTGTCAATGTACGTTCTGAGTTGTTCATAATGGCTATTGTAACTTGTTTAAGTGGAAAAGTTCATATTGTTTCGCGTCATGGTTGATATGTGGATGGTGGCCATTTACTTTATGAAGTAATTAGAGATTTTGAAGTGCATCATGGGCCTTTCCATTTCCAAATACGCGTACCTTCTTTCAAATTTCATGCTTATAAAAGCTGAAGAGCAACCTCAGCCCTACTTACAGAGTTAGTTTTGTTTTCTTTTTAACTTTTCTAGTTTTACCACCGCTGCTATTTATCCGCCTTTCTAACAGACAAAAAGCTCATAACTTGCTGAAAGGGACCAGAAGCTTTTCTACCAGGAAAAAAGTGTGGACAAGACATCTTATAGGAAACCAATAGATAGTGATATAGGCAGTAAACCGGTCTATAAATATATTTTGAGCAGCATTAGGTCTAATACTGGTTGAGGATATGGTAGTACAGAAAACTGTTACCAGCATTCTAGGGCTAATAGCTGTTATAAAAAACTACAGAACAGTTTGGTATCACTTCCATCATTATATTACATTCAAAAGAGTATAAATATTATATATCAGTTTCCATGGACAAACCTAGCTCCAAACTATTCAAGGGTCAGCTAAAAGAGTGGTAATCTCAAGGGACATCCATCAGAATCACAACAATCACCATGCTGCAGCAGTGAATTTCTCAAAATCACGATGGATATTCTGAATGCCTTCAGTGATAGCATTTGCTTCAGATTGCAGCTTGCTAATTTCAGAACCTTTGGCCACATCGATTGACATCAGCATCGCCCGTTTTTCCTGCAAGTGCTTCATCATCGTATCAATCTGACTGATTGTTTCATTATTTCTGGTTCTGTCAAGAGTACACTCCGTTATCTGAATTTCAACTTCTTTTGATTGGTTCTGACGCTGCCCCAACTTAACTTTCATTTCTAGCAATTCCTTCAGACGATGTCGTACTGCTTTGACATCAAATCCCAACATTTCCAAGTCAACCAGTGCTTCCAAATTGCTATCAAATAAGTCTCTAGGATCGCCAACTTGCAACTTGGAAGTCTTCTCTACCAAAGAGGCAAAGGTTATCATATTTCCAAGTGCAGATCCTTCACGACAAACTGCTTTACACTTCACCAGAGGATGAAAATGTGGCTTTTGCGGAAATCTTTTGAATATTTCCATGGATTCAATACTTTCCCAAAATGGAGAACTTCTCACAAAAGGCGAATGTGGACTGTCTTGTTGCTCAACTTGTGTTCCTCTAACCTCATTTTGTTGGTTGGTGATCCTAGCAGGATTACCTGGAGAACACAATCTTGATATTAGTCAAACTAATGACACCCAAAGGAATCTATTGAAAATTTTCACAATAGCTTACTTGAGCACTCTATGGCTTTTACAGAATGCATTTCATCTATGCACAGTGATAAAGGTTGATCATGGGCACATGCCGTTGCAGATATTCCGGTCACAGTCACCTGAACATCTTTTGTTGAGTAATCCATTGCAGTATCCACAGTTTTTGACTCTTTCATCCCTTCTTCAGAATCTACAAATTTAATAAAGACATGAAATTTTAGACAACACAAGATAAAAAAAGAATAGGATTAGCAAGTACCTCCAAAGGGGAAAAAACAATAAAGGAAAAGCATATCCCTATTATGTTAAGGTAACAATTTTTTTTGGTCTAGCAACACTATGAATACATCCATGGTTTCAATTTTTTTCCCAACTGGAAAACTTATTCAGGAAAGGCAAAGTGGACTGTCTTGTTGATCAGTGTCACCTGTTACACCAGTTTCAACCTGTCTTCCTCTGACCTCATTTTGTTTGCTGGAAAACCCTGCAGGGTTATCTACAACACAACCTTGATGTTAATCAAAGAAACCAAAGCCAAAGAAATACTTTTGACAACTTTCTCAATTGCTTACTTAAGCCCTCTATTATTTTCTCAATATCAATTGCAGTAGCTTCAGTTTCTGCTTCGACCATTGCATCTTCAGAACCTGAGATTTTAAGAAAGCTATGAATTTTATACTATGCGGGATAACAATAAATAGGATTAAACAATTACTACCAACATTTTATAAAGTGAGAAAAGGATAAGGAAACCCCAATTATTTTCCTCTTTTCGTTCGTCTACCAATATGTGGTACTTTTCCTTATTGACTCGTTTTGACAAAAGAAAAATCTTAAGGGACTTAAGTAGCTCCCTCACACATGATTCAGTTGCAGAATCTACACTCAGTATTACCAAAATCAGTGTATTTTTTGAATTCCAAAATCATTGTTTCTTAATTATGTTTAACTACCTCTATTCTTGAATCTTCCAATTTCATTCTCCTAATCACTCATCCAAATGTGGAAATTGACTCGTATCTTTTTCACAACAAAAAATTATAGAATACAAAAGCAAAAACATACCAGTCATGGGGAGCATTCAAATTAAATTGCACACGAGTTCCTGTAATTCTTTTTACATAAACTAAAGGTTTTTCCAGGTTCTGATGTACCATACCATTATCATTGACAGCTTGAGTCTTAGTCAATTCAACTTTAGCAACAACTCCAGTTCCATTGTGCTTCTCACCTGCCAAAAATAGAATTTATTCAGGCGACAAGTCTTATACTCCATTGTGCTTAATTCAGGTTGTTAGCTACTCATTCCTGTCAAATCCCACATTGTTATTACAGGCAATTCAAATATATCATTCGTATCATCTGCAGCAAAAGATCCAACGCCATTATGTTCCTCAACCTCAACCACTCATGCTGGTACACATTTGATTTTGTAAATATACACATCTATCAAGAATTGTGTAGCTCTGACACATTTTGCACACCTTTTGCTGGATCTTTTGAGTGTTCAACAAGATATTCAGGCAGTTTTCCATTCCCTTTTATTTTACTGCGCACCCCATCTTCATTCCATTCAACCTCCTGAATGAATCAATAAGAAATATGATGATCAACAAACTTGGGTTAAGAGGGAAATAAATCTCAATAGGATGCCTCATAGTTTTTTGAATTAATTATAGATAAAATTAAAATAAAATATCATAGTTTTTTCTATTAACAATTGTCTTAAAAAAACAAAAACAAAGATTTCTAGAATTATGGGCATGAGCCATCTTAGTCCTTCCTTTCACTTTTACAGCACCCTCTGAGGTATAATTAAGCTCTCTTGTGTTATGTAACACTCCTATATCAATATATATATATATATATATAATTAGAAAGAAAATGAAAAAAGAGGCCACTCTGTATCTTATTGGTCTTCCATTTATTTGATAGGAAGCACACTGGTCTTGCCTTTCTACTCCAAAGCTTAATGCAGACTGTTTTGATACGTAGAGAGATATAGAAGGAAGCGTAGCATACAGGCTTCAGATATACCTCTATGGGGAGCAGACACAATGTTCCAGCATGAGATCCCCCTGTTAGTTCAGAATCTGACCTTATACCGGAAGATTCAATGTTGTCTAGTCCATACTCATCTTCAACATTTTCTTCATCAGCATTTTTGATTTCACTGCCCTTCTTGACTGCAACAATTTATACACATTTGGTTTAGTGGATTACATTACCCAATGAATATGTTAATACAGAAATAATATCATGTAATGTTAATCAGTGTGGATATATGCCTATGGCTATTGATATTTTCACCAGGCAATTTCAGTGGCCTGCTCCTCCCCTCATGTCTCACTCTTGGCCAAAGGATATCAACTTCAGAATTTTGTGGTTTACCTTTTCGTTTATCAGAAACTATTGTTCGATTGTCCAGTCCTCCAACCTGCTGTTGCTTAGTCTTCTGCAATGGGAATAAAATGCATTCTGATCAGGACCATCAGGTGTCAGAAAAAACAAAACCAGAGGAAAAAATAATGCATCTCTTTTTCCTTTTTTTTTTTTTTTTTTGTTGGTATATATCACTTCTTACATTCAAATGTATGCTTCTCAGCATAGAAACTCAAACTTACCTAAGGTCCAAACATGTTTACTATCATACCCATAATTAACAAGCCATGACAACCCCCGCCCTTTTCCCATCATAAAACAAGAGAAAAATACACATACCTTAAAGTAAGGAACCCAGTTTCCATTGATCATAGTAACCCGTTTTCCATTGATCATAGTAACCCATCTTCCATCCGTCCAGTACATGTGAGGCCTCAATTCTGACTGACTGTATTGCTTCACCTCCTCTGTGAATTTAAAACCGACCATATACTTTTTTCCTGTAATCACTTTTTTAATCACTCCGACACACCAACCCATATCACAGAATGCATCCACCTTTTCCAGCAACCTAAAATCTCTTTCCGCCAACTTTGGAGGCTGAGGCCGAATCTGTTTGCTACCTATGACCACTTTAACATCATAGTTGTTTGAGCTCTTATATTGAAGCAAGAAAGAGTTGACCCCTAGTTCACCAAGATAAATTGCTGGGAACCAAGCACAGAATAGATGTTCTTCGTTGAGATTCACTTCCACCGCTGTCCCAGGGCTGAAAATTGATCCCACCATCCTCTTTGAACAATTAATGAAAAATATCAGTTTTCTTTCTATTAGAAACACAGCATAAAGAAATTTCTATCATCCCTCAAAAATAGGAATCCAGATATATTGCAAATGAGATAAAGGAATGAGCTGAAAAGGCATGAACTTGCAAACATATAAGTAAAGACCTCAATAAATCCAAACTTAAAACTCCATAAAATCACAAGTTCCTAACAAACACCACAATATCAGAGAAGTCCCAGAAAAAATTTAGAAAGTACAAACAAACCTGATATCAAGTACTGGTTCGGACCAAGGACAACAAGCAATAAAAATAACAACTTTGGTTGATAATTCAGGAAAATCAATAGAATAGTCAAGAGAACCAATGATACTCATGACAACCGGTATTAAAGAAAACATGAACAAAGATAAACTGCTCTTAAAAAGTGCAACAACATAAAAAGATTATCTTTTTAGGAAAAAAAAAAAGAATCTAAAAGCAGAACAACGAAGGCAAGGCCAATATACAAAAAACAACCTGCATGTTCTTAAATCAAGAAAATCCATGGTTAGAAAGCTCCAAAAACAATTCATTGATAAACAAAATAAAGCTCATGCAAGCATAAACCAAGTGCAAATCCTATAATAAAAAGACAAACCCACATGCATTATTAAAATGTAGAACTAGTACCTCCTTCTGGGCACCAACCCATATGCCGTCCTGCAAATCCCAATGAGGCCGCAGCTCAGAGCGCCTTAACTCAAGCAGATCAGGTGGGTTTTTGAAACCCACGGTATACTTGTCATCCTCAAACCTCATCACAACCCCCACCCACCAAGCATCACGGTAATAGGCGTCTACGACGTCGGCTGGCTCCAAGGGCTGGTCAGGATTGTCAGGAGGCGGCACTGGCCGGATGGAGCTCACGTCAACGAGCTCAGTGAGTGGCTTGTTTGGGTCATCTTCAGAGACCAGACTCTCATACTGAACCAGAGCCTTGCTTGAGTTGCCAATGCTCTTCCTTTTCTTCTTTGGTGAGCGATCTGAGGGGTGTGGGTCAAGGATTATGGCTGGGAACCATGCACCTCTGTACCCGTCTTCGTTGCTGCAAACTTCTACCTTTGAATCCTTGCTCAAATGCGCTTGGCTCCGCTTCATAACCATTTTCCTACTTGTTTTCTCTCACTTTTTGGTTCTCCAGAGAAAAACAGATTATATAAAAACCTTTTAAGTACCAAATTGATGTATAAGCCCAAGTACATTTGCTGACCATTAATATCCCAAAAACGCTTAAGTAGGAATAGTGTAGTCAAGGTCAAGTTTTTGGAGAAAAGTTGGAATCTTTTGGTCCGTTGCTCTCCAAGTGGGCACGGTCGATTTGGACCGGTTTTCTCAACAAAAAACAAAACACAAAAAAAAAATCTGAAACGAAAATGAAGATCGGTTTGGTTTGAACCGATTTTGCTAAAAAATCATAGATAAATTCAAATCAACACGGACCAATCCGATTCCAGTTCGATTCTTGCAATTTCAGTTTGGGCCTTAGCCCAAAATTTTATTATATAATTTTTTTACAGACCTGCCCAAAATGTTATTATATTACTGACATACCCCAAATTTGAACTTCCAACAAGCTTTTAACACATCAAAATGAATCCAACTTCAACAAAATATAAATTACAATCCAAATTCAATCCAACTTCAGCAACATATAAATTACAACCCAAATTCAATCCAACTTCAGCAAAATAAGTTCCAAAATAAATTACAACCCAAATTCAATCCAACTTCATTAAATTCCTCCTAATATTGAAAAGTAGCTAGAGCAGACTTAGTAGGTGTGGATGAACTCATAGTATCTACATAAAAAAAAAAACATAAACTCATTAGAACATTAGTCAAACATACAAATTATATAATACATTAATAAAGCACATAAAATTACAAAAAAATACATAATTCAATCGATTCATAGAACTCCATCTCTTGAATTGTTTGCTCATATTGTAAAGAGGATATGTCATCTGACCTTAACCAATTTTGAGAGCAAATTAAGGTCTCCACAATTTAGGAGTCAAAAAAGTATGAAATGAATTAACTACCCGACCACCCGTGCTAAAGCATGATTCCGAAGCCACCTTTAATATTAGGATGGCAAGCACATCTTTTGCAATAAATGCCAAACCCGGATACTTAATCCCATTCAATTTCTACCACTTCAGAACATCGAAATTCATCAACCACATCTTCAATAGGGTCGGTGATGTACCTATCACTCTTATGCTCCAATATCACAACATCATTTGCTCGAGTCTCTTTTCTCCAATTTTCAGTCATTTGCCTTTGTTTCTTTCCCCCTCGGCTTAGGCTACTACTTGTATTCATGGTAGTAGTATCACTAGAATAATAACTACTACTTTGAGTGGATGGTGGTGGTGGCGGCATTAAGCTTCTTTAAAATCTCTTTGATCTCATTCTTCTCCTTAATCGCATCTTCCAGATTTTCAAACAATCAAGCAAACATGACTCGAGGAGTTTACCAATTGAGTTCCCCTTATAATTGAAAATGACACAAAAGTTCAAGACTCTTTTGTGCAAGTTCCAATCACCATCTATGAAGTGTGCCGTAATAATCATGTAATTTATGTTTTCAACACTTGTCCAAGTGTCCGTTGTGAGGCACACTTTATGTGGTGCTAATTCTTCTTTCAATTTTTATTTCATAGCATCATACATTACCATGAAATGCCTCACAAGTGTCCTACAAGATTGCACTTGGAAATGGGGGTTCAAAGAATTACAAAACCGTCTAAACCCTTTTCCTTCAACCACACTAAACGGCATTACTACCATCTCTACACATGCCTTTAACCACTCTTCTTTACTATGCACTGTTAATGTAAGAACCTCATGTTCTTGGTCAAAAGACAAGAGTTTTTGCCGTATATCTTTAGAAACCCTCCCCGGATATTTCTTACATAGGTTTTCAATATGCTTCCTCAAATTTGAGGTCCCATTTCTAGTGGAGTCTGCCACATAGCTCATAGAGCAATGCTTGCACCTAGCTCTCTTCTGAGTGGTTGCATATTTGCTCCCATCCTCCTTCACACTCTCAACCACATCTTCATATCTCTCAAAGTGATCCCATACTTCCGATTTTTCTCTTCTTGGGCCGGAATGAGGTAATGGTGGAAGACCACTAGGTTGAGGTGGTGTTTGGGCATGAGGTGTACTTTGAGTTGGTGTTTGAGGGATGAGTAAATTGGGTAAATGTGTTGATGCGGATGCGGATGTGGATACGGATGCGGATGACGAACTAACTTCACTATTAGTAGTGGCATGCACCTCTCTAAATGGGTTCGACTCATTCATGATTTCTTTAAGAAACAAAAAACAGCAACATAAACATGATATTAATCAAAAACAATACCTCAATTTAAAAAAAACAAAAACTCAAACATTATCAATTTCTTGGTCAAAAGACAAGAGTTTTTGCCGTATATCTTTAGAAACCCTCCCCGGATATTTCTTACATAGGTTTTCAATATGCTTCCTCAAATTTGAGGTCCCATTTCTAGTGGAGTCTGCCACATAGCTCATAGAGCAATGCTTGCACCTAGCTCTCTTCTGAGTGGTTGCATATTTGCTCCCATCCTCCTTCACACTCTCAACCACATCTTCATATCTCTCAAAGTGATCCCATACTTCCGATTTTTCTTTTCTTGGACTGAAATGAGGTAATGGTGGAAGACCACTCAGTTGAGGTGGTGTTTGGGCATGAGGTGCACTTTGAGTTGGTGTTTGAGGGATGGGAAAAGTGGGTAAAGGTGTTGATGCAGATGTGGATACGAATGGGATGACGAACCAACTTCTCTATTAGTAGTGGCATGCACCTCTCCAAATGGGTTCGACTCATTCATGATTTTTTTAAGAAACAAAAAACAGCAACTTAAAGTTTAAACATGAAAATAAACAAACCACTTTCACAGCAAGCAAATAGGAACATTAACTAGTTCGTAACATTAAAGACATTGATATAAGAAATTAAGCAAAACCCTATTAAAACCTGCAAAAGAAAATTCACTGTATAATTTAATTAAGCAAAACTCTATTAACATGATTATCAACTAGTTTATTCACCATCAATAAAAAACGGTTCAATTTACAGATTATCGACAAATAAACACAGCAAAACACAGATTATCAACAATTTACATATTACAGACCTGCCCAATATATTTTGTCATCAATAATATATGCAAATTTTGATAATTTTCAACAAATAAACACAAAAAATATGATACAAATCAACAAAATAGACCTGCCCAATATAGAGTTTATGTCAACATAATTAGATAATAAGCGGAGTTTATGTCAACACAAACAATCGGTATATCAATAAGCAGATTTTGATACTATTCAATGAATAGAAAATCAACATAAACAACAGAGTAAAAGTAACACATCACATCCTTGAAAGTTCCAACCCATTCAATGTCAAAAAGATCAAATAAATATTCAATGAACAGAAAATCTACATATTCAATGTCAAGAAGTTCAAATAATTATGCTATATATTGAACTTCACACACCACACCCTTGAAAGTTCCAACCCATAATCAAGATTACAAGATTTAATTATAAAAACACAGGGATTAATGTTCAGCACATTACAACTATACTTGTGAAGAGAAGGGTCACAAAATAACAAAAGTTTCTAAAATGTCAGGATATTCCTCTCTTTAAAACATATTATAGTTCAACAAAGTAAAAGTAACACATAAGGCCATCTCCAACCATGTTGGGGCTAAACTCAAATTTTCACCCTCCAAAATACAACTATTCATGTATTTTTAAGACTCAAAATTTTTTTTCCTCCAACCTTGCAAACTCATGAGTCCGCAACTTTTTAAAATTGTTTAAGAATGATTAACCCTTAAATTTTTTTTCTCGACATTATTTTTGTTTCAACATTCGTGATTTAATTTTCTAAACATTTTAACCTAAAAAAAATTAAAATTCCAAAACATAATAGAATTTAACTTTAAAAAAAAAAACAAGTACAACACCATAAATAAAGATAAACAAAAATTACAAAGAAACATAAATTAATAATCACTATGTGGAGGGCTTGGATAATAGTCTTCTGGATTGTAGGAGGAACTTGTATTCATCTGGGCTTCAATAATTTTGTCTTGCTTATCCCCCAATACTTTTTCTTTCTTGGAGTAAATTTGGATAGGTCCATGGACATTATCCTCTGTTCATTATCCTGTTGGATTTGATAGGCATGTTGCTCTTATAGGAGCTCTAACTTTCGCCTCCTATCCTCCTTTGCCTCATTTCCTTGTTGAACCAATTCAGACAAGAACTTTCCACTTTGGTTGAGATAACCTTCAACACCTTTTCCTTTCTTTTTTCATCCTTCTGCTTATCTCTTCCCAACGGCCTTGGAGTGGGCATGACCACATCATCTTCATCTTCCTCCAAATTGACTATATTGCCACTATGAGAAGAATCTTTGAATGTTTGTGTGAGAGATTCACATAGGTCGTTCCATTTTGGGCAATCTTTTAAGATTTTCCAAGCATAATACAACTTGAAAGTCCTATTCGGAGGTTTATTATCAGTCAAGAAAATTATTTTTGCATTCATATCCTACTCATGAAATAAAATAAAAATCAAGTTAATAATTGAAAAGAATTAGAATTATAAATTTAAGCATTGAAAAAAATGAGTACTCACCACATCTTCAAGATTTGAGCCATGCCTTGCATTGGCCTTTGTCATATATGTCTTCCATAGAGAACATTGTTGGTTGATGATTTTGAACCGAGAAGGAATAACTTGCAATGATCGTACCCCGGCTCCACTCATGCCCAGATCATTTTCCAAAAACTTTTGGTACACACACAACCAAAATGAATCATTTGATTGATTCGTGCCCATAGCCCCATCTTCAGAGATAGAAACCCACCCTTTGCACAATGCCTCATCTTCTTGTGGTTTCAAATTCACACCTCTTTGGGGTTTTGGGGCCATTTTCAACAAAAATGAAAGTAGAATGAAAAAAATATAACAAATGGAGAAAGAAAAACAAAGGGAGAAAGGAAAAATAATAATTTTTGGTGTATTATTTACCAAATGAATGGCTATTTATAGAGTTTGGAATAAGTTTTGGGGTTGGATATGATTTAAATTAATTATAAATATTATTTTGACCTTTGGATTTAAATTTGAGCCGTTTGATGTGAAATTTTACCGTTCAAATTGCCTAAAGTTAATCATGATTGTTGATTACAAATATAGTTGTTGGAATATATATTTTTTTTAAATAAAAAAAACAGCACAGCATGTATTTGAAAATATGACCGTTGGTCGGCTTCAAAATGTCACGCGGGCCAGCTTGTTACGCAAGTTTCTGGCAGACAGCAAAAGTCATGTGGGGCCCATCAATTTTTGGTGTTTACGTGGTCTTCCAGCCATAAAAAAAAATAGAAAAAGCAAATTTTGGGCCCACTAAAAATATCAGTCCAGGCAATACTTGGGGTGGAATTCCACCCAAAATTTGAGATTTCTCAAATTTCCACCTCCCAAAATACACGGATTGAAGAAGTTTTTTGGACTCAAAACTCATAATTTGGGTTTCCACCCCTTTGGTTGGAGATGGCCTAATAACAAGACTTGAATATCTTTTTTATGTGTAGAAGGCATATTGATGTTACACTGACCTTATCAATGAAGAGGGTGATCTATTCTTTCTTCTTATACAATGAATTTAATTTCCTTGCCAAGGGTGCTAGAGGAAGAAGTTGATAAGGTTCACAGCCTGAAACACAGGGGAATTACCCTAGACGACGATACCAACCCCATACTAAGTAAGAGACACTTCTAGGTTCCTTGTAGAAGAGTGATAGCAACGCAACATTTTTTTTTCTGGCTTATTTATTAGGGGTGGGCACAGACAACACAAACAACTTTATATTATTCATCACTTGCCATTTGACTCCACCAACATAAACAGAAAATCAAAAATCAAAAATCAAAAATAAATTTGCAAAGGAGAAGACATAAATCTGCAAACAATAATCGGTAGCTCCTCCAGCATTGATTTTTCGCATGGAATGAGCGGGTAAACAGATGCACACACAATCAAAACCTAAATACCCAAACAGATGCAAAACCCTAGTCATAGAATCGAAGAGGAGCTCAGAGAGAGAGAGAGAGAGAGAGCTATACGAGATGAAGACGTGGAAGCTGCGAGTGAATGGGATCTCCGATTTGCTGGAGGACAGAGAGGGTAGTTAGAAAATCGAATGAGGGGAAAGAGAGAGAGAGAGAGAGAGAGAGAGAGAGAGAATCTGACCTGCGTGACGACAGCGACTGAGAGAGGCTGAGAGAAAGCGGCGGCAGAGAGAGGCGTAACATGACGGCTGAGAGAGAGGTTTGGAAGGGTTTCGGGGGCGGCTAAGTATGAAGGAGAGAGGAAGAATAAATGGGAGGAGAGGAAAACGAAGAACGAAAAAAACCTAAGGGGTCGTTTGGTATCCTATTCAAATAGGGAACTCAAAAACTTTGATTTTTCTTAAAAACAAGGAGTTTTTAAATCTATTTTTAAGATTCAAAAACTTGTTTGGTATCCAACTTGAAAATTGTTTTCAAATTTTAAAATTGTGAGAACTTGTGGGTTGTTAGAAAAAAACTGAAAAAACAAATATTTTTTGTTTTTAATAATTAGAGTGTTTTTTAGTTGTTCTTGAGTTTGAGTTTTTAAAAATAGGGCTACCAAATGGGTTTTCTTTGTTTTGGACTCAAATTCTATTTTTAAGTTTAAAAAGTTGGATTCAAGTTGAATACCAAATAGACCCTTAGTCACTCAGCGCGTTTTTTTTTTGTCTGATCATATGTGTGCGCGCCTGTCGTAGCAGCATACACACCCAATCAAACTTAGCCACATATAAAAAAAATATATAATTTCAAATATACATATATATAATATAAAAATATATATAAATTAATTCTATTGAGCTGGTTCGGATTGAATCGGTTCTTTAGGGTGAAAAACCGAAACCAGAACCGATCTGAATCGATTCGATTCAAATTTGTCTTAGTTTTTGACTTTTCAGATCAACACGGTTTTTTTCAGATTAGTTTGGTTCGGTTTTGCGGTTTAGCAATTCCAATGCCCACCCCTACTCTCCAGGACTCTTATATCTCTGGGGAAACGACGCATCGTATAATTTGAACGATTTGTCGCTTAAATCAAGTTTTGTTGGAAACGATAGGCTTTTAGTCGTCCCATTGAGAGTTGATGGATTACATTGGATGTTTTGTTGGGCTTCAGCCCACCTCATACCGAACAAATTTTTTTTAAATAATACTGGCTGATAAATCCATATATGAAACTTTCACTATAGAATTTCGCGATTGAGGATATAACAATAATTCTATAGAATTTGATCCAACAACTAACCTATTTGATCTAACAGTTAAGAAATAGGACCTAAGGACTACAGATATGATGCTCACTATAGAATGACTCGAGGATATAGTAGTACTAACCTATTTGATCTAACAGTTAAGAAATAGGACCTAAGGACTACAGATATGATGCTCACTATAGAATGACTCGAGGATACTAACATACAAATAATTGTTTGCTACCAGCTTTCTAGGGCTAATGGTTGTTATAATTTTAAAAAAAAGCTACAGAAAAGTTAATCCAAAGGGTGTAAATATCATATCATTACATTCAAAAGGGTATATATATTATATAACAGTGTCGAAGGTTAGCAAAAGGGGTGGTAATCTAAAGGGTGTCATCCATCAGAATCACAACAATCACCATGCTGCAGCAGCTAATTTCTCAAAATCACAATGGATGCTCTGAATGCCTTCAGTGATAGCATTTGCTTCTGATTGCAGCTTGCTAATTTCAGAACCTTTGGCCACATTGATTGACATCAGTGTTGCCCCTTTTTCCTTCAAGTCCTTAATCTTCTTATCAATCCGACTGATGGTTTCATTGTTTCTGGTTCTGTCCAGAGTACACTCTGTGATCTGAATGTCAACTTCTTTTAATTGGTTATGAAGCTGCCCCAACTTAACTTTCATTTCAACCAACTTCTTCAGACGATGCCGTACTGCCGTTACATCAAATCCCAACATTTCCAAGTCAACAAGTGCCTCCAAATTGCTATCAAATATGTCTCTAGGATCGCCAACTTGAAACTTGGAAGTCTTCTCCACCAAAGAGGCAAAGGTTATCATATTTCCAAGGGCGGATCCTTCACGACAAACTGCTTTACACTTCACCAGAGGATGAAAATGTGGCTTTTGCGGAAATCTTTTGAATACTTCCATGGATTCAATACTTTCCCAAAATGGAGAACTTCTCACAAAAGGCGAACGTGGACTGTCTTGTTGCTCAACTTGTGTTCCTCTAACCTCATTTTGTTGGTTGGCGGTCCTAGTAGTGTTACCTGGAGAACACAATCTTGATATTAGTCAAACTAATGACACCCAAAGGAATCCATTGAAAATTTTCACAATAGCTTACTTGAGCACTCTATGGCTTTTACAGAATGCATTTCATCGATGCACAGTGATAAAGGTTGATCATGGGCAGATGCCGTTGTCAAGTAATCCATTGAAGAATCCACAATTTTTGTCTCTCTCATGGCTTCTTCAGAACCTGCAAATTTAAGAAAGACATGAAATTTTAGACAACACAAGATAAAAATGAATAGGATAAGCAAGTACTTCCAAAGGGGAAAAAACAATAAAGGAAAAGCATATCAGTATCATGTTAAGCTAACATTGTTTTTGGTCTAGCAACATTTTGAATACATCCATGGTTTCAATTTTTTCCCCAACTGGAGAACTTTTCAGAAAAGACAAAGTGGATTGTCTTGTAGACATTAGAACAATATTAAGGGATTTAAATGTAGCTCCCTCACACGTGATTCAGTTGCAGAAAGCACACTCAGTATTACCAAAGGTCAGTGTATTTCTTGAATTGCGAAATCATTGTTTCTTAATTACGTTTCACTCCCTGTATTTATTGACTCTTCCAATTTCATTTTCCTAATCACTCATCCAAATGTTGTACTTGACTCGTATCTTTTTCACAGCAAAAAATTATAGAATACTAAAGAAAAAGCATATCAGTCATGGGGAGCATTCAAATTAAATTGCACACTAGTTCCTGTAATTTTTTTTACATAAACTAAAGGTTTTTCCAGGTTGTGATGTACCATACCATTATCATTGACAACTTGTGTCTTAATCAATTCAACTTGACCAACAACTCCAGTTCCATTGTGCTTCTCATCTGCAAAAAACAGAACTTATTCAGGCCACAAGTCTTCTATTCCATTGTGCTTAATTCAGGTTGTTAGCTACTCATGCATGTCAAATCCCACATTGTTATTACAGGCAATTCAAATATATCATTCGTATCATCCGCAGCAAAAAATCCAACGCCATTATGTTCCTCAATCACACATGCTGGTATACACTGGATTTTGTAAATATACATATCTAACGAGAATTGTGTTGCTCTGATACATTATGCATACCTGTTGCTGGATCTTTTGAGTGTTCAATAAGATATTCAGGCAGTTTTCCCTTCCCTTCAATTTCACTGCTCACTCCATCTTCATTCTGCTCAACCTCCTGCATGAATTAATAAGAAATATCATCATCAATGAAATTGTGTTAGAGGGAAATAAATATCAATAGGATGTACTTATTCCAGAGATTAAGTAAAGCCAAATACGTTTTTTGAATTAATTATAGATAAAATTAAAATGAAATATTATAGTTTTATATTAATAATTGTCTTCATAAAAACAAATCCTCTAGTAAGGTCAATATTAAATATTTGTAGAATTATTGGCATTTTCCATTTTAGTCCTTCCCTTCACTTATACACCACCCTCTGAGGTAAAATTAAGCTCTCCTGTTTTTTGCAACAATATTTCTAACTTTTTCTTAATACATAAGATTAATGTAGACTGCAGTTTTGATACATTGAGAGA